TATGTTGATATGGTATAGTTCAGAACGCTCTCAGGGTGCTCAGTAAATCCTTTTGATTGACTGAGTAACCTTTTGTCTCTTCCCTCCTTATACTGGAGCCTCAGAGGTGATGTCCTGAGCTTTCGTGATCAACCTCCAACAATGATGTCACCATTCATCTCTCTCCCATGCATCGCTATGAGTCTCAAATGTTGTTACCCTTGCCCTGTACATGCAGTACATCTTTATTCTACTGTCCTTTTGTCTCAGTCATCTCTGCTCACTGTGTCCAGAACAGTGTTGGTATGTGGCAAGGGAAAGACTGAAAAGAGGAGTGAACAGTATGGCTAGTGACTAACAATGAGGACTTTGGACTCAGACAGACCTGGGTTGGCATCCTGCCTCCATACTTGTTTGCTGCACAACCTTAATGTCAGGAGCCTCAATTTCTTCACTTATAAAATGAAAATAAGAATATATACACAGAGAGCTGTGAGAGGATTAAATGAGACTGCACAACAAGCACCTGTCTTAAAGTATACCTTCAATACACAGTAATTACTAGGTGGGAGCAGGGCCACATTACGACTTTCATAGGTCTTAGGTACTCTTGGTTTCGAAGGCCACTTCTTCCTTCAAAAAATAATAAAAATTGTAATTTATGTCTGTGTTTGTGTAAGGATGAATATATTAATATTATATATTAAAAAATTTTCTTCAACCTAAATGTTCATTTTTTTCTTTTGATTTTAAAAGAAATTAAAACATTTTGTGGACTCCTGTAATTATTGTGGGCCTTAGACACTGTGCCTAGTATATCTAATGTTAGCCCTGGTTGAGGGATTTGTTTTGGAGAGCCTTCCTTCTACTTTTTGGATGTTATTAGCTGCTTTCTGGAAGTTGTTGCCTCTTCTGGCCCTCAGGACATATATACTGCCCTTATGCCTCTCCCTTCCCTCTTCACTTCTCCCCTCAACACCCAACGGGCTCACACTGTGGTGTTCCCCAGCCCCTCTCTCCCTGCCCTTATCCTTCTCATTCTAAACCCATGTCTTCATTCCCTTTGTTGCCACTGCTTGAGTCTTGTTCCCTTAGAGCTTTGTTTTTGGTCTGGTAAGGTGGCATTGAATTTTCTGATAAACTACTTCTCACTGAGGCATTGATGACTAACATTGTTCTTCCTCTACTTCATCTAGTATATGCACTTTCACAAGGAACTTTAAGAGACTCTGTGCCGTAATTCAAAGTCATGTATCTGATGGAGGAATTTTAGTCCAGCAAGGGAAATATTTCAAAGCAGAAGATGAACCATGAGAATTGTTTAGATCATATTTTGCAGGTAGTTTGGTGACTACTGCATTTGTGCATTCACTGGGGCTTGGTAACATAACTTTGGTTAGATGTTTCTAGAGGCAGGTCAGAGACCGTCCCCAAAATTCTCTTGATAAAGTATCACACCCAATGGAGTTCTAATGGAACTTCTTTACCCGTGGAGTTGTCTTCCACAGCATCACTATGGAGAACTTCCGTTTTACATCTTAAATCATCCATCATTCATCTCTAATTGGTGGTGACTTTCACCACCATACATAATGCCTAAAAACAAACGTCCCTCCCTCAATGCCTGTTATTTTCTGGGTTCAGGTAGAAATGTGATCTCAACAATCATCTTATTTATAGAGGAGATAACTACGGCCCAGAGAGGTGGAACAACTTGCCGAAAGTAGTCCAGTTAATGACAGAATCAGGACTAGATTCCAGGCCTCTTCAATACCTGCAATGGGTTTCATTACCTCTTTCAGGGCCTTGGGTACCATTTACTACAGGTTCTGTAGGGAGAATGCTAAGTTTGATTCCTGGATTTATTGTTCACTGTGTGTGGCCTTCAAAAGTTACTCAATCTCTGAACCTCAGTTTCTGCAAAATGGGGGAGGAGGGGTAGAAACAGCATCAACCTGAGTTGTTGTGAGAGTTCTTAGAGTTGTTGTGAGAATTTCATGAGATAATCTATACAAAGAGCCTATCTCAATGCCTAGCATACAAACCCTCAATAAATGGCTTTATTGTTAACATTATCACTACTACTACTACAGGTAATTCTGTTATTACCTCTACAATCCTGGTGGCCTAAAGAAAGGGTTAGTGCTGTGTCCCAGGGTGTCTACTTCACTGCCCAGGGAGTGGCCAGAGCAATGGGAGAATCTGGCAGAACAGGTTTTTGCAAAGCAGTGGAAAAATAAATCAAAGGTGATAACCCAAACCTGAAAAAAGAATATAATCCTTTGTTTGTTCTTTTCTGGTTGCAAAAGAACCTTCAAAATATAACTTATGGTGAAATAAATCACCTTGACTCGTCTTGAGAAAACATGGCAGAGCTTCTCTGGCCTGTGCTCTTCCTGACCCCATGAGGACAGATGGCGGTAACCACGAGTTTCTGCTGAATGTAGTGATATCTGATGATGTTCTGTGATGGTGTCACCAGTGAGTAGACAAGGTTAGGAGTCACAAAAGCGTACAGAGACAGCAGAGATGGCAGGGGAAAACTTCACACCCAAATACAAAGTATACACTGCCCTTTGGTGCAAACTTCAGCAGATTCCTCATTGCTGAATATGAAGTCTCAGGGGAATTAGTTAGGGCTTGGTTGAAAGTAACAGAAGCCGAACTCATATTAACCTGTTGTCATTGAGTCGATTTCGACTCGTATTAACCCATATTTGCTTAAGCAAAAGGGAGAATTTATAATAAAGGTTCCAGAGTGTATCAAGGAAAACAAAGAGAAAAGCAGAGCAGACTTGAGACTGGATTCAGGTCCCGAAATGCTTTGCTATAAAAATTCTTTGTCTCTCCTCTCTGCTTCATTCTTCTCCCTTTCTACAGACTCATTTCCTCTATGACTTTGGTTGACACAATGGAAAATATGACCATTACTAGCTCACAAGTTTTGTGAATTATTATATAGGTGCCCAAAAGAGAGCTTAGTCTAGCTTTCTCCAATTCCAAAATTCCCATTGAAGGGATGGACTGATTGGCCAAGCTTCAGTTAGATTCCTTTCTCTAGTCAATGAGTATGGCCAGGGGGTAAAAACTTGTTACACCAACAAGGCCCATCCACCCTAACTGTATACCACCTGTGAGTGGACAGAGCCACAGATAAAGAATCAATGAAACAAGTATTGATAAAATAGATGACTTACAAGCATATCGCTCATATTTGGCCCTATGCTACATCTCAACTGTCCCCAAATTCCTATCATTTTATCTGAGAACCAGGATGTCACTGTGCTCATTACCCATCCCCTCCCTGTTGACTGGACCCTAGACTTAAACAAGCTAATTCCAGCATAATATAGTAGAAATGACAGAGGCTTTAGAACCACACAGACTTTGGATTGGAGCCCAGATTTACCACTTACTGCCTGTGTGACCCTGGATAAGTTACTTAGCCTCTCTGAGTCTTGGTTTCCTTATCTATAAAGTAACAGTATCAATACCTACTTAATGGGGTTGCTGTACAGATTAAGGAAAATAAAGTAACCATATTTAATAAGTAACTTGACATATAATAGACGCTCGGTTAATTTTAATTTCCTTTTCTTAATTAGGTTACCTAGAAACCTTTATGTGGATGAGGAAGTAGTGGTAAGTGAAAAGGGGGAAAAGTAGAAGTGGTAAACTTTTATATCTAGGAAGTATCACTCTTTATGCCCCAGGTATTTTACAATGGTCCTGAGCAAACAGTAAATAATTTGAGTCAATTGCACTGGTAAAGCCACACTTTGATAGATACAGTCTTGATTTAGAGCCAAAGCAAGAAGAGCCCTTTACAAGGATCTAAAAATCAGTTATGAATGCTTTCTGTTTCTTATTAATTTACTGGTGTGACCGGATAGCCCTTAAACTTTTCTCTACAATCTTTAAAGTTCAGATAGTGCAATCTAATGGCTGGTTTAGTGGGTGAAGTACTGTGTTGCTATTGTTGCTGTTTAGAGAGGCACCCCCCTTGGAGAATGGGATAAACCATACTTTTCTATGTAAACCATAGTTTATTGAGCTCTTACTATAGCAAGCACTATGCTAAAATTTTACATGAGTTGTCTCATTCCTTCCTATGAGTTAAGTGTTATTGTGCCCATTTTCCAGGTAAGGAAATTGAGGCTCAGATAAGTTGCCATGGTCAAGTAGCATTTATTGACAGATTGAAATTTGAGCTTGGTCTACTGTGTTTCCAGAGCCTGTGTTCTGAACAGTTGTGTAGTACTGCCTCTCTACACTTGGATTTGGTTACAAGATTTAGAGGCAGATAACACAAAAAATAAATTCCCAGGAAAATCTGTGTTTGGAGTGTCTTATTTTTGATAAATGACAATCTCATGGCTTCTGTGTTTCCACACAATGTCGCTACATGGGCCTGAATGCAAAGCAGTGAAATTATAAGAGGAAAAATAGATGAACAACAGATAGAATGTCTTCTTGGACCCAACAACTATTCTAATTACTTACACAGAGGATCATAGTGATGAAGGGGTTGAATCTGTGAAAAAAGAAACTGGAAACCTTGTTCCAGCTTTAGACTTAACCTGTGTTTCCCATCTTGGTCGAAACTGTGTGCATTCCGATCATCTGAGGCTGCAGGGGAGGAAGGAGTGGAATGTGTCTGTACGTGGATTATCTTGACCTGTTCCAAGAGTCAACAGAGCTTTCGTTATCAATCTAAGGTATTATCAACACTCCTGATGATATAGGAAGGATCTTCATTCACTGACCTATGTACCAATCACAGGAACCACTGTGAACTCTAACCACTAATTTCCCGGCTGCTTCCAAAACGTTGTGTTTTGTAGTGTTCGTGCTTCTGTGAGTTTCATTGTATTCCAGACCATCCTTCATTTGTGCCTTTTTCTTTTTGACTGCATCCTGTTGTGTCAATGGAGGAAACGTTTAAACATTATGTCTCTCTTGATTAGAAGCACATCTGGATTAAGAGCTCATGTTTTTCTTTTTTATTCCCTCTCTTTCAGCTCCAAGGTTCCTTGAAAAGAAAACAAGTAGTCAACTTGTCTCCTGCCAACAGCAAGAGGCCTAATGGCTTTGTCGACAACTCATTCCTTGATATCAAGAGAATCCGTGTGGGGGAGAACCTCTCCGCAGGACAAAGTGGCCTCCAAGTAAATAACGGACAAAGTCAGATTATGTCAGGGACTTTGCCTATGAGTCAAGCACCCCTGAGAAAGACTAACACTCTGTCACATAATACACATTCTCCGGGCAATGGTATGTTTAACATGGGCTTAAAGGAGGTGAAGAAGGAGCCAGGAGAGACTCTGTCTTGCAGTAAGCATATGGAAGGCCACATGACCCAGGAGAACATTTTTTCTAATAGGTACGGAGATGACCCTGGAGAGCAACTGATGGATCCTGAGCTGCAGGAACTGTTCAATGAGCTGACCAATATATCTGTGCCTCCCATGAGTGACCTTGAGCTGGAGAACATGATCAATGCTACCATAAAGCAGGATGACCCATTTAACATTGACTTGGGTCAGCAAAGCCAGAGGAGCACTCCCAGGCCCTCCCTGCCTATGGAGAAGATTGTGATCAAAAGTGAATACTCACCTGGCCTGACTCAGGGCCCCTCAGGCTCTCCTCAGTTGAGGCCCCCATCAGCTGGTCCTGCATTCTCCATGGCCAACTCTGCCCTCTCCACTTCGTCGCCAATCCCTTCTGTCTCTCAGAGCCAGGCTCAGCCTCAGACAGCCTCAGGAGCAAGCCGGGCCCTGCCCAGCTGGCAGGAAGTATCCCATGCCCAACAGCTCAAACAGATAGCTGCCAATCGTCAGCAACATGCCCGGATGCAGCAGCACCAGCAGCAGCACCAGCCTCCCAACTGGTCAGCCTTGCCATCTTCTGCTGGACCATCCCCAGGTCCATTTGGGCAGGAAAAAATCCCCAGCCCTTCTTTTGGTCAGCAGCCATTCAGCCCACAGGGCTCCCCCATGCCTGGGGTAGCCGGCAGCAGCAGCCAGTCAAAAGTAATGGCTAACTACATGTACAAGGCCAGCCCGTCGGCTCAGGGTGGGCACCTGGATGTGCTCATGCAGCAAAAGCCTCAGGATCTCAGTCGAAGTTTTATTAACAACCCACACTCAGCCATGGAATCCCGTCTTGGCAACACCAAGCCTCTGTTCCATTTTAATTCAGATCAAGCAAACCAGCAGATGCCTTCTGTTTTACCTGCCCAGAACAAGCCTTCTCTCCTCCACTACACCCAGCAGCAGCAGCAGCAACAGCAGCAGCAGCAGCAGCAGCAGCAGCAGCAGCAGCAGCAGCAGCAGAGTTCAATTTCAGCCCAACAGCAGCAGCAACAGCAGCAGCAGCAACAGCAGCAACAGCAACAGCAGCAGCAGCAGCAGCAACAGCAACAGCAGCAGCAGCAACAGCAGCAACAACAGCAGCAGCAGCAGCAACAGCAGCCACAGCAGCCACCACCCCAGCCCACCCAACCTGTATCAAGCCAGCCTTTGCTAAGGTCACCCTTGCCGCTTCAGCAAAAGATTCTGCTTCAGAAAATGCAGACTCAGACCATCACAGGACTGGGGTATCAAGTCTCGCAACAACACCGACAGGTAAGGTCTCTACCACTCCTGACACAGAGTTCCCAGAGACCATGTAGCTCCTTCATTATGTTTTGGTTACCATTGTGTTTGTGTTGGGGCAGAATCAAGACCAAAGACAGGAGTGGCCTTGATGGATTTGTATGAAGACCTCATTAAAACCTGGTTCACTTAGGGTAGCTGGAGGAAGGGGCTAGTATTTCCTTGTAGAGGATTACTGTCATTCGGATCTTTAGTGAGCAAGCGTTCTTGCTTATTAAGAATGTTGCATTATAATTGATGCCTTTAGTGACATGTCTAGTCAGTAAATCAGTCATTAAGTCAATATGTACTTCCTGGGCACTTACCACGTGCCAGATGTTGTGATTATGCTGAGTATTGGAGTAAGGCCAGGGGTGATATTGAAAGTATTTAATGGCCAGTCCTTCATAGCCTCCAGCCAACTGGAATGTCCAAACTCCCAAACCCATCAAATAGATTCCGCTATGAGTCCGTACTGGTGCATGTAGGCTGAACGTTAGCCCTAAACAGGATGTGGCCTCTATCTGCAAGCACTGTCTCAAGAGGGAGACAAGTTTTAAAAACTATCATTTTAATGCTGTGTGGAAAGTGCAAAGATACGAGAGCACAGAGGTTGGGTATCTGACCCAGCAAGGGGGAATCAGGGAAGGCTTCTGGGGGAAGTAATGTGCGAGTTACGTGTTAAAGGATGAAATCGTCATGACAAGAAACCGCAGCCCATGGGTAACATAAAACAAAGGTTTTATTCTGTCCCAAACATGAATAGTATGAAGAGATTTGCTTTGTGCCTCCAGAGCACATACTGATGAGTAAACCCTGAACCCCAGGAAACTTGAAAGAGTAAACTCTTCTAGGAATAAAGGAAGGGAGGGAGGGAGGGAAGAAGAAAGGAAAGAGGGATAGAAGGGAAGGAGGGAAGGAAAGAAGGAAGGAAGAAGTAGGGAGGGAGGGAAGAGGGAAGAAAGGAAAGAAGGAAGCTAGTTTGAATATTGCTTGTGCATGTAATTTGACAGGTCTACATTAGTGTCCAGGCCCAAAGACATCACAGTACATGTCAAAACAGTATGTCAAGGCAGTATGGTGGCATAGAGTTTAACCTAGTGACATTTCTAGATTTGTTTTTATATCTACTGCCCAGAAAAGAATGCCATGAGCACCACGGACTGTGTCCAAGCTGACCTTTGCCCTAGATGTTGGCCAAGAGAAAACTGGTCTCAACAAGAACTCAAAAGCTATGTTCCAAGTAAAGCTTTTAACTTTTAACCACTTGAGAAGTTGTTTTTTTTTTTTTTTTTTTTTTGTAGATTATGGAGAATGGACTTAAAATAGAGTCCTGTGTATATTTTACAAAGTTCTTTTTGTAACAGTTGGGTAATTTAGGAATCATTTAAAAACAAACAATGTTGAGGGATTACTTTCTAATGTTGTATGTAGGTATTTTCATTTGGATGAACATGGGTTCACATTCCGACTGTGACATTCACTAGTTGTGTGACCTCAAGCAAGTCACAGAACTTCTCTAGGCCCCAGCTTCCTTACCTGTAAATGGGGGTGATAATAATATCTCCTAGGGTTGTTTTGAGAATGAAATGAGATAATTCTCATCCCAAACCTAGAATAAAGTTGGATATTAATGGAAAGAGTCATAAATAATATCAAAATATTATTTTTAACAAGTGTTACTATTATATAAGAGAGGTTTGGAGTGACTCCCAAATTCTAACACAAACTGTATTGGGTAGGCAGAGGTGAAGGGGGGGATAAAAAAAGATCTGTCTCTAATTCTTCCACTAGCCAGTGGTATGATGACAGGTCCTGACCCGTAAAAATGGAAATAATGGGTAAGGAGAGACTAGTAAGAGTTAACATTTATTGAGTACTTACTCTATACCTGACATGGCTTCTGACTCCTTTACTTGTGGTATATCAATTCACCATGTGAGGAAATACCATTATTCTCATATTACAGGTGAGGGAATTGAGGCATGGAGGGGTTAAGTAACTTTCCCAAGGTCACACAGGTAATAAGTAGCAGAGCCAGGATTCAGAGCCTGGTAGTCTACTTTGAAGCCTGTGCTCAGCCATTAGGCTATACACTCACAGGGAGGATTCATTGGCAAATGAATGACCACCTTTAGAGCACTGTGGATTCTCAAAAGAAGTATTTCTTCTAATAGTGAGCCATATTTACATAATAATAATAATAGAGTAAGTCCTTTGGGGATAGAGAAAGTTTTAAACCTCTGATCTTCAGAGCTATTAAAGAAAGGAATCAAAAAAGTATCTATGTGGTTGTTGACCTTCCTGAAGGGTAAGCATTATGAGTCTAACCAAAATAAACAATTTCCAACAAGAAATACATATCTTTGGTGCCCCATCGGCCCTTCTTGGGAGCCTCCCTTCCAGCTCCAAGATCCTCTGTCCTATTCCCTGCATTACCACTGATAGCAGCAAGTGTATGCCGTACTCCTGACCTCTTAGTTACCACCTGAACTTCCAGGGACCAAGTACACAGGTGGGTGCTAATAGCCAAATCAACAAACATCTTCCAATGCCTTTTAACTTTTTCTTTTTCACTTTTCCCAGTGTATATAATAGTTTTCATCTCTTCAAAAAGAGCCTTAAAAAGTGGTAGAAATGGTGGCAGCATTCCAAGCTAGAAACCTTCTTTATATAGGCAGGCAATGGCTACCATTTAAGGTTTTGTCCCACTGTATAAGTTGAACAGATTATTTCTTTGGGTCCTACCAGCTCAATGATTCTACGAGATATGGCTCTAAAGTCGTGTGTCTGAGTTTTTAAGCAAATCGATCCGATCCCTCCAGTCAAGTAAGTATTGCCCTCTTGCAAGCATTCACCCTGGGGTAGATGGTGGACTTATATTCTAATAATGATGCTATTGTTCAATAGTTTCAGAATTTTTCTTTAGGGATTGTCTTCAGAGCCCATAGCATATTCGACGGATTATTACCAGTGCAATAATATTCATCCTTTTAGCTGGTTTTTGAAAACAGTCAAGCTGGGTAATGTTGCTTTCAGTCAAAAACAAGGAATAACTATGATATGCTAAGACTGAATTTCAGGTGTGGCTTGTGAGCTTTCTCTGAAAGCAATAAAGAAAAATAAATGAGTTGCTTCCCAAGATGATAATTTTGAGAAACAACTTTCATTTGGCTGTACATATTTCTAAGACTTTTTTAAGTTTTATGGTCTCAGCAAGTATATTGCCAAATAGTCTCAACTCAGAGAGAGTGGCTTTAACTCCACCATCCATAGTAGACAGTACAAATTCATGTTCTAATGCCAGAATAGCTAAACCTGTATTATTCATGACTCAAGTCATGGGGAGAGGGGAGGCAGAAGGGGTTGGGAATTAAGAAGCTACTAAATTTATTATCTAAAACATACTAAATGAAAACACTAGTCATATAGGTTTTTTTTTTTTCTGCTTGTCGTACTCACTTTGTGTTAAAGAGAAAGATTTGCTATGGAGTTTGCTAATTGGAACCCTTTAGTCTTGGAAATAGTGGAAATCTTCTTGGCTCCTGCTGCAAAATGGCAAATTCAATTTGTTGATCTGTTCCTTAAAATTGACCAGTAGAGTGTGCAAACGTGGCCTTCTTTTCACCTTTCAGAACACAGAACCTAGATAGATCCACATGCTCAGGCAGAGACTGAATTTGGGGGATTCCTACTCCCCTTTTCCTTTTCTCTGTACCCACCTCTGTTCTCCGAGATGTGAATGGGTCCTGAGGGATGGATGCAGCATATTTGAACTGTTGGAGACATCCTTTTTGTTCCATGCCTGAGGTGATTTTAAGTAATCCATTCTCCAGGGATTGGGAGAACAAATGATATTTGGTGTTTCACACAATGTCTTCAGTGACTGTTTTGTTCATGTTTGGGGCTTGGCAAATGGAGAAGCCTCCTAGCTATAAATTTTCTTGCCTTCCTGATTTGAGGGTCAAGAAAGAGGGCAGGAGAAGGATGTAACACATTCATTTCTGATTTATCTTCAGGTCACAGAATACTTGTTTAAGGTGTGAAAGAGTTATTGGTTGTCCATGACTCACAAGGGTTCAATCCAAAAGTGCTTCTTACCTCTGTGAACAAAGACGTGATCTTCTCAGAACTCTATAATCAGACACTTAAACATGAGAATTTCTTTCTAACATCGGATCCATGAAACTGAAGTGAATTCTATATTTGGTTTAGAATTCTCCCATCTCTAAAAATTCTGGGAGGGAAGGCAGCCAGTGAGTGGATGATTTGTTATGACTGAAACATAAATTTGTTACATTTCTCCCTCAGTTCAAAGCCAAGCTCCTCAACCACGTATTGAGAGTCTTCTATAACCTCACCCCACCCTCTCTACCTAGCCCATATTGTCCTGCCCTACTTCCCATCAACCCTTGGCTTAATTCAGGCAGGTCTCCTAATGTCCTTCTCCCTCCAACCTCCTACTTCCCATGTTAGGTCATATTTTCAAGGTTTGGGTCATGCTATTCCTACTTCCTGGGTTAATACCTTCCTGGTTTAAATACCCAGTTGGGTTCTGTTTTCCTGACTTAACCATGATTGATAGATACAGTACTTAGTACCAGGAGTCAGGTTGAATGCTGTTTGCTTCTCTCTTCTCCTCTTCAGTATACTCGCCTCAGCTAGCTTGTTGTATTGTTCAGTAAGAGATTTTATACTCTCAAAGACTGAGGAGTTGACGTAAAAATACCATTGACTGATTAAATAATTGAATTGAGGAACTATAGACCATACTTTCATTATATATATATATATTTTTTCTTTAATGTAGTAGAAATAATTATTTCCTTGTGAAGAACATGTTCTGGGAAGATAAAGTATGCCCCCTGAGTACACCTAGAGGCCCCATAGGAGACATTCTTCTAGTTAATCATCATTCGTGGTCTCCCCTTGGCCTTGAAAACTCAGAAACCCATTTTTCCAGTATGAGGATAATAGCTCTGTGTCTCAGA